CTGTAGGCAAGATCCTTGTGTTCTAGCAGCTAAGCACTTGCTAGGCAATGATGGACTGAGAAAGGCTGCAAAAAAAAAAAAGAAAAGAAAAGAAAAGATTGGGAGTTCAGCAAATGAGAGTAGAAGAAGGCAAGAATGAACTACTTAGGACAATGCTGGGTGCTTGGTGTCTCATGCCTGTAATCGTAGCTACTCAGGGGGCTGAGATCTGAGGATCACAGTTTGAAGCAAGCTCAGGCAGGGAGTCTGAGACTCTTCTCTCAAAATAACCACAAATAGCTGGAAGTAGAGCTGTGACTCAAGTGATAGAGTGCTAGCTTTGAGCAAAAGAACTCAGGAAAGCTTTCAGGCCCGGAGTTTAAGCCCTAGTACCACTGATTCCACCCAGAGTCAGTGCCTAAAGGATCAGGAGGAATAGGTGGGATTTGTGGGACAGGAAGACTGGGGTCAGATTTAAAGGGGAAAGGTTCAAGAATGAAGAGTTTGCACTTGGGGCTGGGAAGGTGGCTCAATGGTATAGCGCTTGCCTTGCATGCCTGAGGCCCTGGGTTCGATTCCTCAGCACCACATAAACAGAAAAGGCCAGGTATGACGCAAGTGGTAGAGTGCTTGCCTTGAGCCGAAGAGCTGAGAGACAGTACCCAGGCCAGAGTTCAGGCCCCGTGACCAATTAGAAAGGAAAAAAAAAAAAAAAAGAGTTTCAACTTGATCCTCTAGTCCAGGAAAATAGCACATACCAAGGCTGCCCAGCAGGTCCCTTAGATTCCATAGGTACAAAGGAGAATTTACTGTTTTCTGCTTTCTTCCCACCATCCCTTCTCATCTTGGTTCACTCATCACCATGTTCCCAGTCTCAAATCAGATATGGCACTGTCATCTTCAGGTCCCATTTGTATTGCCTACTGTGATCAACTGGTCACTGAGCCAGACAGGCCTCTTCATTTGTGTAATCCACTCTGCTAATTATTTCCTCTGCCACCTATAAGCCCTATAATGTCCCCCTCTTTTGAGTCTTCATTCTTCTTCCATCTAGAACTGTATTTCTAGATCACAAATATAATGTTGTGAGTCCTCTACTTGAAGACTCCTGATGGGTCTGGGGTATATAGCTTAATGGTGGAACACTTTTTGAGCATGCATGCCTGAAGCCCTGGGTTCTAACTCCATGTACTGAGAAAGAGAAGGGTGGAGGGGAGGGAGGGAGAGGGAAGAGAAAATTTTGATGATTCTTCACTATCTATAGAACAAAGTTCAGCCTTCCTGTCCTTTCTAACCTGGACCTCGTAAACTATTCTGGCTATGTTCCATTTCAGAGCAACCAACTAGGAGAAATAGTTTAGACAGAAAAGTATTTAAATTTTCCATAGTTCTTAAAGGTAAAAACATTGGGGATATAAGATTTAAGTATACATTTTCTTATTAGTATTGATATTAAAACCAACTACAAAAACCTGGTGAACCTGGCAGACAAACCCAGGATTGAACAGTGTGCAGTTCATTAAGGATTTACAAAAGAGTAGTTATGGGTGGGAGCAAAACCAGTGAATCCTTGTAATTTGGAGGAGAAGGATTCTTTTAAGACAGGAGCTGAGGGTGTAGCTGGGGGTGTCAATGGTAGAATGCTTGTCTACATATGTGAAGCTCTGAGTTCAACCCCAACTACCACACACACACATATGCACACACACATGTGAGCGTGCGTGCACACTATAGTCAGGAAAAAAGTTACTTCATTCAAGTTGGAATGTACCTGGTTTATCTCAAGGTAGTGTCAGAAAAGTTGGCACATTAGCCAGAGGTCAGTTGAAATGCTTTACATACCACACTAATGGTTTTGTCTATTTTTTTTGTCTGTTTGTTGTATTGGGGGTGGGGTGGGGACTATTGGTGGATAACTGGCCAGTGTTACTCAGGGACAATGGTTGTGGTTATGACTTAAGATGGGTACAGTCAGGCTGAGCTGAATCCTTACAGCCATTGCTAAAGTGCAGAAGCATCTGTATTCATCCCAATTCAACAAGGAGAAATTTAAAAGGTTGAATAACACATATTTTTAAATTTTATAAATTTTATAATTTTTATGCCACTACTGGGATTGAAGTCAAGGCCTATATGCTGTTCCTTAGCTTTCCGTTTTCTTTTTTATTTCTTTTTCTTTGGTTCTGGGGCTTGAACTCATGGCCTGGGTGCTATCCTTGATCTTTTTTTGCTCAAGCCTAACACTCTACCACTTGCGCCACAGCTCTCCTTCCAGCTTTTTCCCCCCCTTTTTGGTGGTTAATTGGAAACAAGAATCTTAGGGACTTTCCTGGCTTGGAACCACAATCCTTAGATCTCAGACTTCCGAGTAGCTAGGATTACAGGCACGTGCCACATGTCCCTTAGCTGTGTGGTGCTGTGTCATTTGAGCCACAGCTTCAGTTCCCATTCTTTGGTGGCTAGTTGCAGATCAGTCTTAAGGACTTTCTTGCCCAGGATATCTTTGGACTGTGATCCTCAGATCTCAGCCCGATTATAAGAATGAGTCTATAAGCCTAGCTTAATAATTCATATTTTAAAAGGCAGCACTTCTAGGTGAGGATTTTCAATAAAAATTGCTATAATTTTGTATATATCTGATTAAAGATAGAATCTTCAGTGTGTGAGGCCATCCTGCCTCCATGTGCAGAAGACCAGTGAAGTCTAAAAGGGCTGTGTGAATGGACCAAAGGTGGTACTGCCTTCCATTAAAGAGAGCAGACTTCTTGTTTATACGTTTTCATTGGTGTAGGGATGAAGGCTTTCCATGGCTTTCCAGCTGTCATGCAAAATCTCAGGTCCTTGAGATCCACTCATGAAAAGCACTCACAAAGAAGAGTCTCACAAGGTAAAAGTTTTAGCAAGGATTTATTTTAATATAACAGAGTGAAAGTAGGGAGGAACAGAAAAAGAGAGAGAAATGTTTCCTGCTTCCCATGCAGGAAATGGAAGTTAAAAAAATCAAAATGGCAGCTGTAATCTACTGCCTTTATTTTGTCTGAGCTGGGGAAATACAGGTGGTCATGTTTTCTAGCAACCCCCAACCATTTAATAATGATCTGAGTGACAAGGATGGATGCTACTGTTCTAAAATGTGGAAAATGTTTTGGGCCTACCCAAAACAGAGTGAACCTTAGGCCTTCCTTTCCTCAGATAAGCCTATCATCTCTGTCTGTACCCATTTGCAGAATTGCCAAAATTTTACCATTTCTAAAGAGAGGCATCTGATCATATAAAATATTTATCAAAATGAACTCCAGGAAATGGGAACAAGAAATTTTTTCTTTGTTGATGGTTTTCATTTCATTTGTTCATTTATCTTTCTGGGGTAAGAGGGAGGACACAGAAATGGAGGGACAAAGCAGTGGTGGTACTCACTAGGCACTATGTGAAAGATGAACTATAAATCTTGTGAGGCTAGGAGGGAAAGACTGGAAGAGAGTGAGGGAAGGGGTGACATTAACCAAAAAGAAATGTACTCTTCACCTGACTTATACAAATGTAACCCCTCTGTATATCACTTGTATAATAACAATTTTAAAAAAGACCCAAAAAACAAAAAAAAAGAGAGCAAAAGTAGACCTTCTAGATCTCTCAAATCCTACTAATTTAAAAAGAGGGATGCTTAACTAATTTTTTCAATGCTCCCTGATTTCAACTTCTAACCTAGCATTTATAATATTCATTAAAAATAATCTGATTTCCCTGTCTCCTCACCTATCTTGCCACATTTTTTTAAAATTGCTATGTTGGGATGGAACTTAGAGTGTAGAACATCCTGAGCAGGTGTTCTACCACTGAGCTGTACCCCAACCCCAAGAACAGACTCTGGGTCCCAAATTTTTGGGGGTAGTGACAACAATTTTAATGGTAAGGAAGGTCATTGTGGGCAATTCATAAGGCAGAAGAATTCACAGTGACCCTAATGACCTTAGCAGAAGGCGTGAATTCTAAATGTCCATGTTGGACAGCTGTCCCATTGAGCCTGAGGTAGTAATTCAGTTTGGGGGGGGCATTAGAGGGGCACAGAGGGGCTATTCTACCCCCAACTTGATTCACACTCACTGGCAGCAGTAGGTGCTATGGATTAGAGGCTGACAGAGCTGTCTCTCCCCTGGGGGGATGAGGTCTGAACGGGTGGGGTGGGGGTGGGGAGGGAGGCTGTGCTGCCTGACAGAGCAGGCGACTGCCTGGATTACCACACTGTTGTGTGTCTCCTTGGACTAATCCTCCTGTGGAACAGCAGGTAGCCTGAGAAGCCTGAATTGTGGATTAGTTCCTGGCAGTTTGTGCCACGTATAAAAGGCAAATGAGCCTTGTTAGCAGTAAGTTTGTGCAGTCAGCTCTTCCTGAAGTCAAGCCTTTGGTCCAGAGGAAAACAAAGCTGTGGGAAACATGGAGCTTTCTTACACCTTCTTGGAAATGCAAGTCATGTTGCCTAGGAAATACTTCTCTTACAGAGTACTCTGCACCCAGCCAGCCTTGGAGCTATGGAAGAGGCTGCTGAAGTCATTCCAAGAACACCCTTGCAGTTTGGTAATCAAAGGAAAGAGCCTATCTGCCTTGCCTCTGGGCCAGATTTCTGGCTGTATACAGGACCCAAAGGAAAGTGTGTGTAGCTCTGGAAGACGATTAGGTGCTGGTTCATGGACACATGTTTGGATGCAGGCGGGGCTGGGCCGTGTGCAGAGGGCCACAGAGCTGCCTGCAGTGTTCTGAGTGAGAGGCTGCGATTGGTGGGTCGGGTATAGATAAACAAAGCAAATAGGTACACAGTGGTGTGCAGCCTGCCTAAGTTCCTGGGGCTGCCTGCCAGACTGAATACTCACCAGCTCACTTGCACAGGGTGCCTTCCTCTGCTATCAAGGAGAATACTTTTAAAGCATTTCCTGTTAGTACAACCAGAGTCTGCTGAAGTTTGAAGTGCTTTAGTGGGTAGGGAAGGTGTGGCTGTGACTGTGATTGTGACCATGGACCTGGTGATGGAGAAAGCTGAAGATAAGGGGTCCCAGAACCCTGAGCCAACCTTCCTGGCAACTCTGAGTGATCCACAGGTGACTTTGCTGTCGGTCCACAAGCGGTGGTCCTTCAGGAAGAATTCCGGGGCTAGGGGTTTGGCCAAACCAGTGTCTTCGGAGAAGAAAGACTCTCCCCAGCCAAAGGAGGGAGAATTTCCACTGAGGGTCTTGAATGGAACTGAGGAAATGAGTTCCCAGCAGGTCAGTGCAAATGCAGAGGGGCTGGGACCAGCTTATCCACAGGGGAGGCTTCTGTGGCTCTCGGTGTTGAGGGGCTGGGGAAATATCTGGGTACATATATTTGTCACACTGTCCAGGAGTCAAGGTGAGTAGAGGAAGTGGTGATTTTTAGGTCTTGTTGCTTCATATTTTCAGGGTATTTTGTAATCCTCTGTGGAGCACATATTTTCTGATATGCAAGTTGGACAGATATGATACTTTCCTCCTATTTAATTAATTCAATTATATATTAATTAACTAAATAATTTTGGTGCCTATTCTGGGGCTTCAATTCAGAGCCCAGATGCTGTCCTTGAGCTTTTGTGCTTTAAGTCGTCACTCTTCCACTTTAGCCACAACTTCACTTTCAGCTTTTTGGTGGTTAATTGGAGATAAGAATCTCTTGGATTTTCCTGCCCTGGCTAGCTTTGAACTGAGATTCTCAAATATCAGCCTCCTGAGTAGCTAAGATTACATGGGCGCTAGGCTCCCTTTTAGGTTTTGTTTTTGTTTTTCGATTTTGGTCGTGGGGCCTGAACTTGGCCTGAGTACTGTCCCTGAGCTCTTCAGCACAAGGTGAGCCCTCTAACACTTCAGCCACAGTGCCACTTCTGGTTTTCTGGTGTTTAATTGGAGATAAGAGTCTCACGGACTTTTCTGCCTAGGCTGGCTTTGAACCAGGATCCTCACAGCTCAGCCTCCTGAGTAGCTAGGATTAGAGGCATGAGCCACTAGCGCCCAGCCCCTTTTAGTTGTATATCATACTTTTGTGATGCTAGGGATCAAACCAATAACCTGGAACATGCTGGGCAAGTGTTCCACCATTGAACTGTATTCTCAGTCTCTGCTTTTATTTATTTAATTTATTTTATGTTTTGTGCCAGTCCTGTGGCCTGAATTCAAGGCTTGGGCACTGTCCTTGATCTTCTTTTTGCTCAAGGCTAGCACTCTACCACTTGAGCTATAGCTCTACTTCCAGCTCCCCCCTTCCCCTTCTCTCTTTTGAGTAGTTAATTGGAGATAAGAGTCTCATTGACTTTCCTGCCTGGTTGGCTCTGAACCACGATCCTCAGACTCAAACTCATGAGTAGTTAGGATTGCAGTTGTGAGTCACCAGCACCCAGTTTGCTTTATTTAATTTTTAAGCCGGTTTCTTATTTGTTAATACTTTGAAAGTGTTCCTATAAAATAAAGGTGACTTTCTTAAGCAAGTAAATGTAACTTTTGTTCAACTAAAGGTTAGTTGTATTCAAAAGTAGGGCAGTATGACATTTTGTAAAAAGGGTGTCTTTTAGTAATATTTCCCAGTGGCACTGGTTGGTGGTCTGTGTGGTATCTTTCTTGAGTAGTCAGATGTAAAACATAAGTACTTTTGCTAGACGCCAGTGGCACATGCCTATAATCCTCACTACTTCGAAGGTTAAGATTGGGAGAATTGTGGTTTGAGTCCAACCCTGCTCAGACCAGGGTTGAGACCCTGTCTCAAAAGAGAGCTGTTTTCTAAAAGAGAGAGAGAGAGAGAACCTGTTAGAGCCTATTATCTCAAAAGAGATAACAGGCATGAACCTGTTATCCCAGCTACCACAGGAAAACTTAACAGTTGGATCCCCCACCCCCCCAGGCATACACACTGACAGGAAGCAAGACTCTAATCTCAAAAATAACTAACAAAAAATCAGGGCTGGAGGCATGTTTTAAAACCCTGATTTTAAACCCCAGTACCATAAAAAAATTTTTTTTTAAAACTTTAAAAAGTAGTTTTGAAGGCATTCTTCTAGTTTGAAGCAGCATTTTCATAAGTACTTTGCCTCCTATAAGATTTTCTTTGGTGCTCATTTTTTTTTTTTAAATCTTAGTCAGACACTAGTGCTAGTAATCCTAGCTACTCAGGAGGCTGAGATCTGAGGATTATAGTTCAAAGCCAGCCTGGGCAGAAAAGTCCATGAGACTCATATCTCTGGTTAACTACCAGAAAACTAGAAATAGTACTATGGATAAAAGTAGTAAGAACACTACTCTTGCTTGAGCAAAGAAGCTCAGGGACTGTGTCCAGGCCCTGGTTCCAAGCCCTATGACCGATAACAAAAAATAAAAATAAAAAAATCTTTAAAACAAAAGAAATTTTGTGAAAAGGGTTTTATTATGTGTGAAAGTTACATGATAATTAGATATTGACCATAGCAACTATTTTTTATTGTAAAGATACTGTATACAGGTGTTACAGTTACATGAGCAAGGTTATGAGTTCATTTCCTATTGAGCATTGTTACACCCTTCTTTATTTCCCCCCCACCATCCCTTTCCTCTCCACCTCCCCAACTCCTCCCTCCAACTCCCCCTCCCCCCACCTCCGCAAAATTGTAAAGTTTGTTTTCAACATACTGTCTGGTACTTGTCATTGTTACAGTGGATCATCCTATATCCTTATTTCAGCATTTTGTTGTTTCCCTTCCCCTCCCCAAATTAGAAAAATATATATACAAGATGCAGGACATCAGAATCAAATACAGTGACAACAGGGATTATGTACCATGGGGGAAGAACATACAAAGAAACAAAAAAATACATAGTACATTATAAGTACATTAAAAAGAACAGCAACAAAGATAAAACCTCTTGTGTCTCTTGGGGTTCATTTTGCATAGCATCAGGTTATATGGTCATATAGCTTTAGATCTCTTCTGCTTGTCCCAGACTTATACTAGTTATTGCAGATAAGGGAAACCATGGGACCTATGTTTCTTTGGGCCTGGCTTACTTCACTTAATATATATTTTTTCCAAGTCTTTCCATTTCCTAACAAATGTGGTGGTGTCATTCTTTCTTTATGATGGAGGCATAAAGTTCCTATATATATATATATATATATATATATATATATATATATATATGTCACATTTTCTTGATCCATTCATGTACTAAGGGGCATCTGGGTTGTTAGCTATGGTAAATAAAGCTGCGATAAACATAGTTGTGCTGGTAGCTTTAGAATGGCCTTGTTTGTGATCGAGCAACTATTTTTTTATTTAAAAGATTCTTCATTTTGCCTTTAGATCTTCAACCAGAACATAATTATGCTTTGAGGTGCTTATTTTAAAATCTTAAAACTATGTTTTGAGGCATTTGGTTTGACCACCCCCAGCAGAGCAAAAAAAGCACAAAGCTTTTTGGTATGGTAAATTTGTGGAAAATTCTGAAACCCTCGTTTCTTCCTAGGCCAAAATTAATAACAGGAAGCATGGAATCATATAGTGGGATCTAGTTTAGGTAGTTTTTAGGCAGTCCAGAGAAAAGGTTTTAGGGAGAAAACAGGTGACGATATATATGATATATGATATATATACATACATATATATATATATAAATATATATACACAGGTATGATCTGTAAATAGTACATTCAGTGAATTTTAATTACTTTGCGTTCCGAAGTCATCATATAATTTTCATTTTATAACTCTTTAAACGACTTGAAACCAGTAGCTAAACTATTTGTCGTTTAATCATTTAGACTCTTTCAGAATGACATTTTATCTGTCTTTTCCTATATTACTTGTTTATTCTATTCAGAGCCAGTGTTTATATTTTTAACCAAATGTTTATAAGATGAAAATATTAACCATTTTCTATGGAAAATACTTGAAAACACTTCTTTTTTGTTTTTTCTTTTTTTGTTTTTTGCTTGTACTAGGGCTTGAACTCCAGCCTCATACTCTCCCTCAACTTTTTCAATAATGGTTGTGCTCAGTTATGTGAGCCACATTTTTATTTCTGTTTTTTTTGCCAGCTAATTGGAGATAAGTCTTTGAAGTATTGTCTGTTGGAGCTGGCTTTGAACAGTGATCCTCAGATCTCAGCCTCCTGAGTAGCTAGGATGATAGGCATCAGCCACCAGCACCCAGGCTGGAATGATTTTAAGTGGTTCACTTTACAGCTTTCTGTTTCCTAGGATCTGCCCCAGCACCTGATGTGAGAGCATTTCCTCAAAATATTTAAACTCTTTCCCAGCTCTCCCCCCGCCCCGCCCAAAAAAAAGGAAAATAAAAAACAAAAATTAAAATATTTAAATTATTGCATTTACAAAAATTTGTAAGCTACTTTACAAAAGGTTCTCCTGAGCTTCAGTATGGGACACGGGCTAATGATTTTTAATGTTCAGTCACAATCTCCTGTGACTGGGGCCCCCACCGTGACCCAGGCTAGTAGAGCCTCTTCCAAAAGGAGTTGGTTAAAGATTGTGGGCTTGCTGAGGTAGGTATTGGATTCCTCTAGTATCAGGTGAGTAAGCAGGTGAGTAAGATTCTTCCTCATAGAATTATGGACTACTAAAAACTATGTTTTTAGTACTACGTTTGCAGAAATTTTGCTTTCCTAACTGAGATGGGTCAGATCCTGTCTGAGTAAGACTGGGTTAGCTCCATAGTGTGTCTGAGGACAATTTTGACTTTTTCAAAAAGCACATGATTGCAAGAGTCATTTATACTCGTTATAAAAGCAACAACAACAACAACAACAAAGAACAGATAGCTGGGCACTTCTGGCCCATACCTGTAATCCTAGCTATGCAGGAGGCTGAGACATGGAGGACTAGAATTCAAAGCTAGCACAGGTAGAAAAGTTCAAGAGATTCTATCTACAATTAACCAGTCCTCCTCCCCCACAAATGCTGGACTAGAGGCATGGCTCAAGTGGTAAAATGCCAGCTATGAATAGAAAAAGCTGAGTGAGAGCATGAGACCCTGAGCTTAAGCCCCAGTACTGGCATAAAAACAAACAAAAACAAAAAGAAAGAAAGCATTTACAGTGAGATAAGGGAAATACAGAAAAATAGGAGAAAAAGCAACCATTTTCTCCCTATATTATAAATGTATGTTTCTGTGAGCATGTTTGGGCATACATGTATATATGTATATATGTATGTATTATAATTTGTGATTATAAGGAATGTTTTATGTCTTGCATTTTTAACTTAGTCTCTACCA